ACTTCCAACTCACTCCCTGTAACAGCACTAGAATAAAGGGAAATCTTTTCACTGAAATAAAAATTAGAAAGCAAATTTACATTTTTAAAAATTTAAGTAAAAAGAAGAATTTGTTCAATTTTCAAATTCTTGTTAAAGTAGCAAAAGTCTTTGAATTCCGGTTATTTTATATGATAAGGCAACTCTGAGAAAGTAATGTAGGCATGTTCTATGGACTGAAGTTGCAGCCCTAATCCCCATTGTGATGCTATTTAGAGATAGTAACTGTGGGAGATAATTAGGTTTAGATGAGGTCATGAAAATTGGGCGCCCATGATGGGATTAGTGCCCTTATAAGAAGAGACACAAAAGAGTTTGCTCTCTCTCCTCCCCAACCATGTGAGGACACCAGAAAGAAGGCAGCCAATCTACAAGCCAAGAAAGTCCTCAACCAGAAACTGACCATGCTGTCAACATGATCTTAAACTTCTAGCCTCCAAAACTGTGAGAAATAAGCTTCTGTTGTTTAAGCCACCCAGTATATGGTATTTTGTTATGGCAGTCCAAGCTGACTAAAACAGCATTCTACATATTTTTATTATCACCAAAAGTTTTGGAGTATGTTGAAATAAATGTCTACATTGTTTCAGAAATAAAGCTATTATTTTGAATGGACTCCATGGACATTTTAAAAGAGGTTGTAAGATTAAAAAAAAAACCAATTCTGGAATTATTTACATAGATCTGACTAAAAAGAAATAATTGTTTACTGCTAACTCCTTTGCTGAGGCACATACAAGTTGTACGGACCCAGCAAAACCTCCTCAAACTGAACATACTGCTAAAAGGGAAAGGAGAATCCCAATCTAAAGAGATTAATTCAAAATTCACTTGCCATATTGGTTGACAAATAATTTCAATTTAAATATAAGTTTATACTTTTCTCATTACCATGAAAGACTCAAGTAAAAACACCAACATGGTAAAACTGAACAGTCAGGATAATTGCCCCTTTAATCAGAATGCATGAGATTTATGCTGAGCCACTTATTGAGCACCTTGGATTAATTCCTTAACTTTCTGGACTTCGGGGTCCTCATCTGTAAAAATGGGAATGACAGTAATAATACCTGTATCACTGAATTGGGAGGATTTTAGAAAAGTGCTTGGTTTATGGCAAACTCTCAACTCATATTTAACGGCCTATCTGAATATTGAATTCAGTTCATAAATAATGTTGGTCCAAAAGACTAAGCATAGACTCCAAAAAACTCCCCAAAAATTAACAAATCATTTTTTTATTCAGACCTACTGAATATTCAGTACGACTTTTAGAGGAAAAAATTACCTCTACACCATGAAAACAGTAAATTCTATGGCATCATATGAGAATTTTTTATAGCATACATTTATTCATCCACAGTTTTGTATGAGAGTGGAAGAAATTTAGAGAAAAGATGTTTAATGTTCATATGTAATTAGTTTTGTCAGAATACAGAAGTAATTAAAATATAATTCTTATACAAGTTTTATAAAATACAAATCTTTCCAATGGTCATAAATCTGTTTTCATTATAGACTTAAAGTTTGTTTGTTTTTAATTCAGACAAATAAGATTTGATTTAATAATAAAAGTTTTAATTGTTCTATCAAGGTAATATCTGACATTCCAACCACATTGCTTTCAAGAATTTCTGCCTTTTAACTACTGGGTACTTACCCCAAAGATACAAATGTAACCTGAAGGGGCACCTGCACCCCAATGTTTATAGCAGTAATATCCACAATAGCCAAACTATGGAAAGAGCCCAGATGTCTATCGACAGATGAATGGGTAAGGAAGATGTGGTGTATACAATGGAATAAAAAAAAAAAAGAAATCTTGCCATTTGCAATGACGTGGATGGAACTGGAGGGTATTATGTTGAGCGAAATTAGTCAGTCAGAGAAAGAAAATTATCATATGGTTTCACTCATATGTGGAATATAAGAAATAGCCAGAGGATTATAGGGGAAGGAAGGGAAAAACTAAATGGAATGAAATCAGAGAGGGAGACAAACCATGAGAGACTCTTAACTATGGGAAACAAACTGAGAGTTGTTTGAGAGGAGGTGGGTAGGGGTATGGGGTAACTGGGTGATGGGCATTAAGGAGGGCACATGATATGATAAGCACTGGAGGTTATATGCAACTGACGAATTACTGAACTCTACATCTGAAACTAATGATGTACTGTATGTTGAATAATTGAATTTAAATTTTAAAAAAAGGAAAATTAAAAAGAGCACCTGCACAGGCAAAGGCTTGTTCATTCCCCCAGATGATGAATGTAGAACCCTTGATTGCCTCAGCTAATTCCGTGATGCTTTCCAGTACCGCTCATGGCCAGTCTCACCTCTGCTCCAATTGGATGGTGACCTGGACCCAGCAATGGTCATTCAGCGTATCTCCTGCTTTTCCTCACCTCAACTAGACACACTTTCTGGGGAGACTCCAAGACATAGGGGGAAAGTACACAGGTGAAGGGAGAAACCAGACAAATTCAGTCCATATAATTTAAAGATCCCTTGCCCTTGACAATGGATTTGTCATCTTCTCCTTGTACTCACATACATACATACCTGCATATAAACTGTCTTCGAGAAAAACCACATGATGTTCAGTTTTTTTATGACTTCTTCCTTCTTTGTCCAAGGCCCTCCTCTATCACTTACAGCCCAGGAAAAACACAAACTAAGGTTCCTATGTCCCCACCGTTCCAACCCACCACCACCCAGATCCACTTGATATCCCAAGGGGCCTCAGTGCACAGTGGGGAGAAGCCAGTCCACATTCCCATGCTCTGATCACATTCCCCTCAATGGTGCCCCTTGGCCTACAGCCGCAGGGGTGAACAACTGGAGTTCAAGTGAGGTTCAGGTGACCCATTTGGGGAAGATGCCTGAGCAGCCATTAAAAGCAGGCTTGGGGCATGAAAGCAAGCCCTGCATTTCCACAGGGAATCCCGTGGTCCCCAAGAGCCTGGAGTGGGTGTGGGAGTGGGGAAGGCAGAAGAACGGAAGCTTCTGGTTTGCGGGTGGTCCAGCCCAATGAAGCAGTGGTATCTAGAGGAAGGGGCACCCAGAGCGGGGGGTCCAGTCGCCCAGCTCTAAGGGTGGTACTGCCCCACTGTAAAATTCTTATTAAGGAACCATAACAAAATGTATTTAACTATTTAGTTACTTCCAGTAAGAAACCTGGTTCTCTCTGTATCTGACGTAAATTACTTGGAAAAAAATCAGACTCACGAATTTAGTGACAAGTAATTTTCTGTAAAAAAAAAAACCCTGAAGACTTCAGCAGAAAAAAATTTCCCCCCCTGGTCAAGTGGGTTTCTGACAGACAGAGACTAAAATAACAAAAAGATGTCTGGAGAACAGATTACAAGAACATGAATGCAACAAAGCGTGCTTCTTGAAAAACAAAATATTGGAAATCCATTCTAACCAGTATTTGTTTATAAGAGATACAGTTATATTTGTCTGCAATGAATTGGTTCAAGTTCAAGTCCCATGATTGGGCTCAGACATCCAGCAGATGTCCTCACATGGAAGTAAGCCTCAAAGGGATAGTTTATGCAACTATAAGGTGTCACAGGAACATAAAGCAATGCTGTCTGCCAAGGGGTTCCTTCAATTCATTTCACCTCACACCCTTGTTCAAACTTCACTAACATGTAAGTTTGTCATGTGGAAATAAAAGGAAATCTTCCAGAGAAAAATCTGACCATCTCCTGCCAAGCTAATTCCCTACTAGATTTGTTTATATGCGTTTGCAGCTGACTAAAAGGCACTTTTTTATTTCTTTCAGAGAGCAGAGCTTCTTCTTTTGGAAAAAAAAAACAATCTGAAAATGGTTTTTATAAATTAACAAGATCTTTTTATTGCCTTGGGTCAGTAACAAACTTGAGAGATTTGTTTATATGTTTCTCTTATTACGTTCTTCAATAAAATTCACAAACCAGACAGGAAGCTTAGCTTCATTAACGCATGACAAAGGGAAAAGTGTCATACCTGAAACAAACTTGGGAAAGCGTCCAAAATGCAATATAATTTTGCAATGTATTACAGTGACAGTAAAAGACAAAAACTAGGTTTGATTTAAAGTCACAACAGCAACACAGACTGATATTTCACACAGAAAATTTACTTATCTTCAGAAGGAGAAATAGAGAGAAGGACCGAGTTTTCAAAGAGAAAAATGATCAGAAATTATCTTTAAACTCCATCTGGACGTGCATATTTCTTGTGTCTGACATTAATTCCAGCTGAAATTTAAATGAATCTTACCAGAAAATTGGCAACATAGAGACATGAGAATGAAGTATAAAATATTAGGTGTTTGATTTGTGCAGGAATTTGACTTGTTCTGAGACTGAAAAAGATATATGACTTAAAAAAGTATTAAAGAGTTAGTGAGCAGGTCTATTTGTATGGAGAAGGGATTATGTCAAACTGCTTAGGAAAAGAATCAGGTGTATGCTTTAAGGAATTAGGATTTGTCGAAAGGGTCTTAGGTAGCAGTTGTTATGCTGAAATGAGACAAAATGCACAATGCCCTGAGAATTGCAGAACCAGACCTCATCAGTGCCCTTCCCAGGCTGTCAGCACCTTGACTCTCAGCCAGAACTGCTCTTTTGGAAGGTAAAGCACACACACCAAGGAGGAATCTCAACTGCAGATATCATCCTCCCCCACCCATATCCTGATACCCCAAAATATGTCCCTTTCACAAATAGAAACTTCTGCCCCGGGAAAAAGCCACTCAGGCAAACTTGAAAGAGTAAGTGGCTGCAAAACAACAGTTTTTGTCAATGAATAATTATTTCCAATAAACTCTGGTTAATAATTATCCTCTATATCTGTACCCTTCTTTTACAAGCAATAACCTGTCCAGTTAGTCCAGAGAGGTGCTAGCGGAGGCAATGTAAGGGATTATTCTCTTGGAGGGGCAGGTGGCAAGATAGAAGGGCTATCTTTGATCTTTGATCAGAAAGGTGATCAGCACTGCGAAAGCCCCGGGGACCACTGGTTCCTGCAGTCAAGCCGGGTGAGTCGACCGGACCATTTACATTTCAGCACAGCGAGGCGTGGACCCCTCCTGTGGATAGCTGGTACCGGGGGGCCAGCAGAAGAAGCCAAACAAGCTCTTACAAACATGGGTGAAATTCCGTCAGCTGCAGGCTGTGACTTCACCAATGCGGTAAAAACAATTGTTTTGCTGGCTGACGTGAATGACTCCAAGACTGCCGATGAAATGGACAAACAGCCCTTCAAGAGTCGTTTTTCTGTAAGAGCTGCTCACCAGCTTGCTGCTTTGCCCAAAGGAGGCCACGTGGGGACTGAAGCAGTGGCTGACCAAGGACCTTTCACGACGGCATCGCTCTAAGTGGGTTCGGCAGTATTTAGCCTGGAGTTCTAATAATGTTTTTAAATTAACAACTTAATTTTTACAATCGATGTTGGAAAGTGTACGACTGACTAAAACATTGGAAGTTTTTATGGAAATACCATATAATAAGGGGACTTGAGCATGAATTGATGATCAGATGACAAATCCATGTACCAGCATTACAAATCACGCTGACACACGCTCATGTTACCGCATGTGGGAAAGGAGACACTCGTTACGTACTTACCCAAATAAATAAAAGTAAAGGGAAATAACATGTAGGAGAAATGAGTCACTGTTTCTGATAAATAAGAGCACACCTAATTCAATTAAATCCTATTAATTTAATGAGGCAAAATATTTAGCTCTCACATCAGCTATATAATTCTGCTTTTAACTTGAGGAAAATTAAAGTGTTGAAGTTTGAATGGTAGAGGTAAAGGAGAAGAAAGTGGACCAAAATTTTAATAGGTCATATTTTTCTAATGGAAATAAAATAGACATGCAGATTTAAATAAATGAATGAATGGACGGACGGATGGATGGTTGGATGGGTGGATGGATGGATGAATGAAAGCAATAGTCTTCGGCTTCTGGCCAAGATGGAAAAACAGATCAGATTTATCCTCCTGTCTAGAGCAACAAAGAATACCAAATGAAATATTTGGAACAATGGTTTTAAAGACACTGAACCTCAGACAGCGAAGGACAGTGATCCCTAAGAGATAATAAATAACACTGGGACTATCCCAGTTTACTGCTTCAAGAGTTTCCAGACCCTGATGCAGGAAGGCCCAGACTGAGGGCAAGGTGTCCCTGAGTTAGGGACATGCAAACGAGACTCTGGGGAGACAAAGGAGGCTAGAACTGGCAACGTAGAAAGTTAAAGCTACCTGGTGAGAGAAATCTGGGAATGTGCAGATGGTCCTCCGCAAGTACTCAGCCAAGTACTGACCAGCACCTGCATGTGGGAAACAGTGTGAGGGCAGGGAAAGAACCACCCCGAAGGATTAGAGGGAACAGCACTTGCTACACTCTCAGGACCTGGAGCAGTGTCTGCTCCCACCAACCAGAGTGCAACCCTTCCTAATGCATGGGGCATCAGAGGGGATTTGCCTCCGTCTAGGGGAAAAATCAGCCTTAGACTATCTGCTCCTTTGATCCTACAAGACCCGAAGGAATCCAAATCCAGGCAGTAAAAATTGTTAGATCAAAGTACGCACATTTTACATTTTGATATACCACTACCTATTTGGCCCCTAAAAAGTTTGTCAACTTACAGTGTCCATTTTTTTTTTTCAGAGTTGCCATCAAGGGATTTACTTATTTGTCAATCTGATGAGTGAAAATATTCATCTTCATGGCTTAACTCTCTTGTTCTTTTTTTTTTTTTAAAAGATTTATTTATTTATTTGAGAGAGCGAGAATGAGAGAGAGTACATGAGAGGGGGGAGGGTCAAAGGGAGAAGCAGACTCCCAGCCGAGCAGGGAGCCCGATGCGGGACTCGATCCAGGGACTCCAGGATCATGACCTGAGCCGAAGGATGTTGCTTAACCAACTGAGCCACCCAGGCACCCCAACTCTCTTGTTCTTTATCAAGTCTTTAATCTGACTTGGGCTACCCCCATGAATTGCTGGCTCTTACTACACCCTACTGACAGCCCTGCACCTCGCTCAGTCCGGTCCTTATGGTCTAAACCTCATGCCAAGACACACGTGTATCAGGGGCCCTGTTTGTAGGACAGCCGCCCTCTCCTATGAAAGAGAATTCAGATTCCAGCTACTGGCATTTTCTTCTATTTCTCAAACAAAAGGCAATCCAGTTGACCCTTGAACAACACAGGTTTGAACTGCCTGGATCCACTTACATATGGATTTTTTTTTAAAAAATACAATACAATACTGTATATGTATTTTCCCTTCCTTATGAGTTTTTTTCTTTTCTCTAGCTTACTTTTTTGTACTAATACAGTATATAATACATACAACATACAAAATATGTGTTAATCAACTATTTATGCTATCGGTAAGGCTTCCTGTCAACAGTAGGCTATAAGTTAGTAAAGTTTTGGGGGAGTCAAAAGTTATAGTGGACGGAGTTGGTATCACTAACCCCCATGTTGTTCAAAGGCCAATTGTATATTAAAAGTTCACCTTACTGGATTTAAGTTCTATTTTACTAGTGGGTTCAGAATAAAATAATGCATAAGAATGTGTCCTTCAGAGGCTGATAGACTTGAACTCAAATGTCTTCTTATAAGTTACTAATTTCGCCCAATTTCACGCTAAGCAAGATAAGTTGATTTCCCTTAATTTGTTTCCTCATCTGAAAAATGAAAAGGTTAATATATACTTTTGAAGGGTTTTTTGTGAGGCATAAGGGAAATAATAAAGGGAATGTCATTATGGAAACAATTAGTGAAGATATGTGTTCCTCAATTAAGAGATCACCCCGTGTGTTCTAACTTTAAAAAGTAAACTATAATCAATTTATACTGAAATTGCCTTCATTAAACTTTGAAGAATTTCAGAATAAGAAACAAAGGTGCTGGTAGGAAAATCAGCAATTGATTGTTGGCTTTATAAAATTTTATTTCACTGGCAAACTTAAGGACAACCAAACAAGTTACAAAGTTACAAAAAGTTACAAAGATCACCCCCAAAATAAACCACTTGATCACAAGAAAAAAAAGCACTGTCACTGTGGTAGTTTTCTTACCTCTGCTGTAACAAATTACCACAAATTTAGTGGCTTAAAACAACACGAAAACACGAATTTATTTTCTGATAGATCTGGAATTTAGCAGTCTGAAAAAAAATTACAGAGGATTAAAATCCAGATATTGGCAGGGCTGGCATTCCTTGGATGTCCGAGGAGAGAATCCTGTTCCAAGCCTTTCCAGCTTGTAGAGGCTGCCACGTGGCTTGGCTTCTAGCTGCTTCACTCCAGCTACATGCTTCCATAGCCATTCAACACTGATCTCCCGCCTCCCTCCTATAAGGACCCTGGTGATGACATCAGATGCACCTGATAATTCAGGATGATCTCACCTTGAGATCTTCCATTTATCGCATCCGCAAAGTCCTTTTGCCATATGAGGTAACATTCACAAGTTCCAGGGGTTAAGACGTGGACATCTGGTGGGGGGAGGAATTTTTCAGCCTGCCACAGTAAACAATGCAAACACACTTACAATTCAGGCACCTACATAAAGAACACTCCACTGAATCATGCAAATCAACAGATTATGAACCACTGATCCTTCAATGTTTCTTCTTCCATAAAACTTGCCCGACTCCCTTCAGTAAGTTGAGGACTTTTGTGTTCAAGGCTGACTATGTGTGTGATAGCATGTGTAGCAAACAACAAAAGAAATCTTGGTAGAGCATCCACCGTGTGCCATGCACTGTTAGGGCACTGGGGATACAGCAGGGAGCAAATCAAAACCTCTGCCTCCACGGAGCTCTCATTCTAGCAGAGGGAGAGCAGTGTTCCAGGAACTTTTTAAGTGCCACCAGCAAGGTTTGTCTTGGTTGAAAGGTAGTGAGGTTCACACATTCTGTATTACTTTACTTTAAAGATCTGGAAAATATTAAATTTATGACTTCCAAGGTAACTGCCTGACAAGGGCTAGCACAAAAATATTAGGACTTACTGTAAAAAATAAAATAACCGTACATTTGAAGAGGTGAACTGTTGAATACTCTGGTCAAAGGTAGAAAAAAAAATTCAAAATTTGAATGAATTCCAGAAGCAATGAAGAGTTGGCTGCAGGTTAAATAGACTGCATTATGAGGAAGAGAAACTATTAGCGCCTTTTGTTTCCATTTTATAACTCAGTTTAAGGTACAAGCAGACTCTTAAGATATAAACAGAGTATTTTGTGTGAAGGTGTAAAACTTAAAACAGGAAAACAGAGAATCCTATGTCCTCTGGTTACTTGAAACTCACATTTGGTTGATGTAAAATGGTTAACTAAAAAAAAAAAAAAACACAGTTAAAGGAAAAGATGAGAGGCTGACTCAACAGGATGATTAGCTTCTTGGTACAAAACAACTTTAGTTTATTATTATCCTATTATATTTTCCAATAACCCTTGTCCTCTTTCTCTTAATAGCCTATCTCCCTTGAGCTTTCTCCTCCTATTTAGTGCTCCTTGATTAGGGTTGCGTGTTGTTTTTTTTTTTTGGTTTCGTTTGTTTTATTTTTTTACTTATCTGCATGAAATTATATAGAGAGGCATTAAGTAGCATCTTAGCTATCCTCTGTGCCTCATCAAGAAACCAAAAAAGAACAACTGTTTTGTTTTTAAGATTTTTATTTATTTGACAGAGAGAGACACAGCGAGAGAGGGAACACAAGCAGGGGGAGTGGGAGAGGGAGAAGCAGGCTTCCCGCCGAGCAGGGAGCCCGATGCGGGACTCGATCCCAGGACCCTGGGATCATGACCTGAGCCGAAGGCAGACGCTTAACGACTGAGCCACTCAGGCACCCAGAACAACTGTTTTCAGCATATCAAAGTTTAAAAGTTTTTCTAGAAAAAGTAAATCCCCCTTCAAGCCCTCAAGAAAACCTTCGGCTGAGTTGACAGAGAGGACCTGTAAAGAAGGTGCCTGGGTGGCCCAATTAGTTAAGTGCCTTCAGCTCAGGCCATGATCTCAGGGTCCTGGGATTCAGCTTCCCAGTAGGCTCCCTGCTTCTCCCTCTCCCTTTGCCCCTCCCCCTGCTAGTGTGCTCTTTCTCTCTCTCTTTCTCAAATAAATAAAATCTTCACACACACACACAGAGAATGAGCCACACCTGAAGGCAGCATGTGAGCAATCATCAGTGGAATCAATACGTGCATCAGGGTTTAATAGGGGAACCAAGACTACAATGACTAATATGAAATGAGGGCTTCATTTTAGGGATTGAAATTTAATTGTGGGAGAAGCTGGGGAAAGAAAACTCCAGAAGGGGGTAGGTGGAGAATCAGAGAAGCATCCCTAACCAGGA